ATTATCTATAATTAATTTGTGATAATTAATCGAATTAACGAGTGATATAATTAGTTAATTTTAGTAATCTTAAAATATTATAAAGTATTAATAAAAATATAAGTAATTTAGATGTAAAACATTTAGTAACTAGGCGTAAGTGGCATAAGGCAAGTTGTAAAAAGCTTTCTGAAATGTGTATACCTTCGACTTAATTTAAATAAGTATGTTTAAATATTTTGACACGGGCCATTATTCTATTTAATGAATTTATTTTATTTTTAAAATCAAACCATTTTTTGCAATAATTAATTAAATATAATAAAAGCATAAACTTGAAAGACTAGAGTATAGAATATAGAAATTGAAATTTCTATCGGATATCGGCATATCGGATTTTCGAGAAGTTCAAAAATTGTGAAGGCTTCTAAGACTTCACGTAAGACGTTTGAGTTAATTACTATAATTTTCCTATTTTTTTAAAAAAAATAGCAGAGCCAGTTTATCCAGAATTAATAATATTTTAATATCAATCAATGAAGCCATATCCAATATGTACTAGTAATTATATTCGCTAAATAATTATGAATTTATATTATTATAGACTTAACACTGCTCTCATATTAATGAATTATAATATATAATAATAATATTTCTTGTAAAAATTCATGTATTTTCTAATGATAATGTAGTATCAAATTTTATGGTGCTTTGTTTTCAAAATTTAATGTAATTTTTATTAGGCTTTAAGTTAAACAATCTATATAACTATTTGATTATATAAAGATACTTTTCTTTCCATACATTTATTACTAAGTGAAAAATAATTATAGAAATTTATCTTTTAGTCTATTTATTTATTAATAGTGAATACATGATACAAATTGATCAGTAAATAATGATGTTTAGACGAGTAACCATTAACCTGTTTAGCAAGATGTAAGTTAAGTGAAATATATTAATGATAAATAATTTTTATTGACGACAAATAATTTTAAAATTAATTACTATGTATGTTAATATGTGAATTTTGTAATTTTCTAGCAATGAGGCACCCTTTAGATCTATTAAATGATCTATAATATATACTAATACCTTAAAATTGCGAAGAAACCTAACATAAACAAGTGTTAGATGGTGGATGGAATAAACTCCGTAAATTCCTTGCAAAAAAATCTTTCTCTTACAGTTCAGTTACAGTAGCAAATAAATGAGGAGCAAGTAGACGACGACGTCTCATGAATAAGCTTGTAATGGATAAAACAAATTAACATTTCGTGTTTTATGCAACTCTGAGCTCGGTCAAAGATTCGTATTTTCTGCAATGCATTTGTAACGGAAAACTTAACGACCGTGTAGAGAACTTCGACATAATTCTAGCACTAAACTAAATGCCTCCACGAAACTACTGGCGTGCGAATTTCCACATATCGTGGCCAGTGTAATTAAATGTTTTTCTAAACTTGAAAACTACACCATGAATAATAAAATACTGCATAATGAATTATTTAATTCTGATTAATTTGTATCAAGCAATAACTGTCCAGATTTAATTAGACCGTGTTATTTATTAAAACGGACAGTTATTGAAATCAACCAAGGCTTGCATAATATTTTTTTGCATGCTTATAATTTTTTTGAGTATTTTGAATAAAATGAAAATAAAATTTTGCGCATATATGTAAATATATATATATATATATATATATATATATATATATATATATGTTTAATTTATATATATATGTTCAAATTCAAGACTATTCAAAAATATATATATATATATATATATATATATATATATAATATATTAAATAAACTATAAATTATGAAGATAATTTGCAAAGACTAAAACGTCCGTGTTATCTGATGCACACACATATGTATATAAATTGATATTTTTTTCTCTAAACTAGAAAGCTCTTTTTTTAAAAATAAAAATGAATTTAATTTTACATTCTTAAATATATTCTATGTTTAAGATATATGATATGAATCCTTCTTCAAGAACTATTTAAAACCAATAAGATTTGTTTTTTATACATTTTACTTAAAAATTAGGAGAATTCATTTTTAACTTTTGAAGTATTGAAATTAAAAATTTTTCAAATTTACTCTCACTATATAAATTATTTCTATTATAAATTTACTAAATATTATAATACTATACTTCAAATTACAGTTGTGTATGGCTGCATGTATATTGAGGGATATAAATACTTTGTTTAATTAAAACCGATTAGTTGTAATTGCACAATCAAAAATTAAAAATAAATTATAAATAATTACATAAATTTACAGGCTACATTACAAGAATTTGTAAAAAATCTAAGATAGTTATATTATTTTAATTTATTATTTAATTTAGTAAAAATGTAATATATTTATTTTTTATTGTACATATTCGTAAGTTAGATGTGACTAATGTTTTATAACGAAGTCAAATAAATATTAAAATAAAAAAATAAAATTTCCAGTAATAAAATTAAAAGTAATTCCAGATTAATTCTAACGTTATTATTTTTATGTTAACGTTCATATTAAAACATATTAAAAGATATTTTATCTTTCAAGTTGTGATTTATATCGTTTGACTAGAACCCGTACTTTTATATATATATATATATATATATATATATATATATATAAATGTATATATATTGATGATCAAAGGGATCTCGATGCATGTAAAAACAACATACCCTGTTTTTTGATAAAAGTCGTTCAATAGGTTTGGCGTTGTTATTTTTGAATCATCTAAGAAGTCTTGTTTTTTACATACAGTTAATCGATTTATATAATAATATAAAGAGAAATATATGTTTTTTATATATGTGAACTTATAAAACTAAATAGCCTAACATATAATTATATCTTGAAAAAGATTTGGATGTCGAAAAAAGTGGTAGTGTATGAGAATATAAGTTTATATAGCATATTATATGTCGTAGTTTTAGAAAATATATGAGATTTAACAAAAACTTTTTATTTTTTGCATAAAATCAATTTTAGAATCGTAAAATACCAAATCGCATATATTCATGCACATCTATAAGAAACAATGTATATTTATGTTCAAACTTTATATTTTGATCTTTATATGTCGACAATAGCCATAAAATGCACTCAATAAAAATGAATTGAATATTGAATTGAATTGAATTTTAATTTACTTTTTAGTACTTTTAATAAAATTCGATAGTTACTAACAAATAATAGGTTTTATGAAAAATGTTGTAGTTTTAAGTATTAGGCAATTGAATTCAAAAATAATGTCTATGAAGTAATTATTGATGATTATTCATATAACAATTAAACAAGATTTACTTGAATCAATTAAACCTGTATTACACTGTTATTTGAATTACTAGATTCACATTTAAGTATAGTAAATATGAAAATAGTATATAAAAATAATTTTCAATCAATATATCAAATAAACCAGTACTGTCATCATTATTGTAGTAAATTAATAGATATAGATTTTATATAAAAATAGTATATGAAAGTATCTATAGATTCAATAAACCAGTACCTACTATCACTATTCCTTGAATTATAGGATAAAAAATAGTACATAGGAAAGCGTAGGGGCTATTTGTAACAGGGGTAACTAGTAACAGGCGTTTTTCAATAAGATTTTAAACAATATTAAATTATTTTTTGTCTCGATTGGACATGTAAGAAACCGTCCTGTATAATATCGTTATAGCTACTGTTAAGCAATAAACAGAACTGTGCAGGTCCGTCATTTCTGACAGGTAATATAAAATTGATCTATGATAACATTTCAATTTGCATTATTATTATCGACTAATTTAAAATTTTATATATCTTATATTGTTTCAAATTTATCAAACTTTGATAATGTGTAACAATTTTTATGAGTGCTAAACTGTATAAATAGCTATCTTATTTAATGTAGAACAACTGCACCTGGGATTAATTGAAACAGAACCTTGGGGCTAGTTGTAACATACAAGCATAATATACAAATTCAAAATGAAGATGAAGAAAATTGAATAAAATATACATTTTGTAAGATGTGAGAACATGCACCAATTGTGTTACAGAAGACATTATATCTTTTATTTGTATTATGATATTTATTTTACTTTACATTAAATTATGTTAAAAAATGTATTTTACAGTAGATATTATATTTTTTTGTTTTAATTATAGTTTGCGTTGATGCCTGAACAGAATTACCTAAAAATACGCGAATTTTCTTAAAAATGAGCAAAGAACAAATTATCAGAAGTGTAATTATCGTGTTTTTGTCTCCTTGCTCTGGTAGATGCTACAACTAGACCTAAATACGGGGTAAGTTGTAACATTGCACTTTTATTAGAAACTGATTAATTGTAAAATAATGAACAAAAAATGTGGAATTATTTTTACTTGATTTGGTAGAATAATAATTATTGCAACTATCCACCTTTATTTCGTAGAAATATAGTAAGTAGATCTCAGGATGTATTAATTTAAAAACTGTTAGAGCAATCTTCTAGCTCCGATAGTGCAAATATATAAAATAGTGCATAAGTATATGATTTTTTTTTCTGAGTTATTGAATGAGAAGAGAAATTTAATAAATGTTTTAGTATGGAACTTATAAGGAATTGGTGTAAACAGCAGTTTGCAGATTTAAACAAATAAATTGATTATTTATTTAAATAAATATTTAATTTGATAATTAAACATTTTAAATTTTATTTAAGTAAAGAACAACTCCAGCTTTTTGCAGACTTAAAAAAATGCTAATTTCTTAAAAAAATTCTAGATATATTGTTACAGTTCCTAAAATGTTTTAATTTAATTTTTAAATGATGTAACAAGTCTAAATATGTTTTAAATTATCTAAATATGTTTTAAATTGTTCAAAAATGTTGTAAATGTTGTAAATTTTCCAAAAACAGTTGTAAATTTTGCTTGATAAATAAAATTTTCAAATTATATTTCATTGAGAAGCAACTAATGGCAATACAAATACTTTTTACTAATTGCAAGTTTTGACTTACCTCCGCCAATTTTCCCTAATACACTGCCATAAAAATTGAACACACTCAAAGTCATAAATAAAAACTTAAAATTGAAAATCATATTGACAAAACAGAATATTTAAAAATATCACTCTAAAATATCAAACATTACTTTACTAATATTATAAAAAAAAATCACAATATTAAATATTTCTTTCACAGCACATGATAACTAACTGTCAATGCAGCAAATGATTTGACGTCGAGCTGAGAGAAGAAGCGTGCGAACGCCTCGGACTTCAAGCGCACACTGACAAAAACGCCGCAACTCGCCGACAGCGTCAGAAAAAACGATCTACATATTAATTCTGTACTACGTGCTAGAAAAACTACCCATCGCAGACAATTACTTTTAATTAAATCGATAACGGCACAAAGGAAATTGTCATTTTCAAGAGAAATGTAGGTAATCTTGAAGTTAGATTTCATGCAATCTAATGCAGTGCGATGTACCGTTTTTCATTTCTTATTCCCATATGTGCACTTAAAATGACTCTGTTGTGAATGAATGTAATTGCAAAAAATTACGATAAGACACGTCTTAATTGCTTTGCATCAAGCATAAAAAATTATCTTGCAATCGCCACACATTAAATCGCTTTTTCAATAACCTCAAGAATACGGTTACCATCTTTAACAATAAAACTATTTCTATAGAAATAAAAGACGCAAACTGTGGATTTAAAAATTAGATTTGTCGATGGAGATGTAAAATGATTGTGAAGGATGAGGAGTTGACTTTTACTAGGAATAAGTGGCATTTTGCCTTTAGACAAGTTGCGAAATCTACACGATATATATTAAGACTATATTAACATCCCGTAGGGTAAGTTATTAATTTAATCGTCCAAAAATCAAAATTGAAAATTTTTGCATTTCTCGACGTTTTGAAGGTTTCTGAACAATTTGGCATACCTCAGAAAAATTGGATATGTGTGTGTGTATGTATGTAAGGATACAATTTTTCGGTTACGTTTTCGGGCGCACGGATCAACCGATTCGAATTGTTCAAAAAACATTCGATTCCTATTGATAGAGAGATGTGCTGATTAGTTTTTGGCAAAGGCAGGTCCAGCAGTTACGGAGATAAAGAGCAAAGAGTGCAGAAAACATAAATCAAGTTTTTGAGAAAACGGAGCATCCGATTTGAATGATTTAAAAAACATTCAATTAATAATGATTCGGAGAAGTGGTTATTAGTTTTTGGCAAAAGCGAGCCCAGCCATTTCGAAGATACAGAGCTAAAGGTGCAAAAACTGGTAGTTTTTGAGAGAACTAAGCGTCCGATTTAAATGATTCAAAGAACTTTCTGCTTGTTTTAATATAATAATTAATTTTGGGGGAAAAAATTGTGTCCCAATTTTTTTTTTCAATTTTTTTTTCAGAAAATTTGTTTTTTGTCGAAAAGAATTCAGGTTTTATTTTTAATTCTGACAAAAGTTATAATATATTTTGAACAAATAATTTCAACTTTGCAATTCAGTTTATATAATTCTTATAAATATTAAACGATGTTACAATATTTATAATTATCTATTTAAAAACATTCAATATTCCTCGAACATTTTGTACTGCTATGGGAAGTTCCAGCAATTTGCCTTAAGGCACGTGGCCATACACCACCCCAATAGTTATATATTAATTTTAGACATATGTCTAAATATTTTAAGTAACTTAATCAATATAAATTGATAATTCTCAACTATTATAATATTGACGGCCCGTTTGAAATTTTGATACAGCACATTATTCCAAACTTTGATGAAATTTTGCAATTAAACCGCTTTTTATGGACTCATGATATTTTACGATGTTTGTTAAGAGGATGTAAAACATAAATATGAAGAAAGAGCCCGATATTTTTATATGGTCCTTTGAACGGTTTCGGATTAGGAATTTTGTCAGAATATGGATCATCTTGCAAAAATAATAAACGCGAGTCCCAATCAATTTAAATCGAATCAGAAGAATATTTTATCTCTCTTAAAAATAATAAAATAAATTTTAATTTATTATAAACAAAATTTATTGATAAAAAAATATTTCTATATTATTCGTAGTTTCTATATATCTTTGAAGTTATTAAAATGAAAAATATTTTTTAGGCAAGACAGATATTACAGCTGATCACAGAATGAGATAAAAATACAAGTCAATGAATGTATGTTAATTTTAATTACATGAAGTTCTTCAAACACAATTACATGATGAGTGAAATTACGAAAACAATATTTGTTTAGGCGTTGTTTAACATAATCCACTATATGAACGAATATTATATAATTTATTGATCAGCAATTACTTCATTTCTCTAATGACTGTTCATTTGTAAATGCTGATTACAATGACAAACCGATCATGTCATATTTGAAGTATGACTTTAATTATATTATTGTTTTTAAATATTATACATATTTTTAATGCTATTATAAATATATAATTTATAATTTATCGAGTATTACCATATTACTAATAAACATTATTCAAAATTTTTATAAGATGTATTTATTTATAAATAATAATGAAAATTAGAGTGAAATGCCAATTAAATACATTATCATTTAAATATTAAAATGTGTGTTATGCAAAATCATGGAGTAAGTAAATAGTTAATGAGTTATATGAGATATGAATGATATATGGTGCAAAAAGTAAGATGATGATGTGAGTATTCTACGAGTGAATGGGCAACATGATACGAGTGATAGACTGAAAAGTGAAGCATGGAAAATTCTATGACACAAAAGGTCGACGAAAGAGGAAAAATGTGTAATAAAAATCTTGTAGACAATATGAGAAAGAATGCTTCAACAATGAAGGAATGTTATCGAAAAAAGGTTGAAAATAAGCAAGCAGTACAGAACTTCCAGATTTGCTTCAAAAATGTATATTAACCCAAATTAAAATTATGAAAGAAATATAAATATAATTTTGGTTCCTAAACCTAAAGTTTTTTTATTATTTTTTGAACATCAATCACGACTTAAGAGTCTTAAACGCTGTTGGGCTTATTTGAATTAATACTACGTAGATTTTACAGACTGCAATCCAAACACTTGTCTCATAGCGGGATCGAACCCGGGATCTCTAATTCAGGTGAAGTCGCTAAAATATCTTACGTAGATGAAATAATTAAAGACAAAAGCAGTAGGTACTCCTTAAAAAAATAGAATTATCCAAATAAGTTACTAAGGTCAGTTCTCAATGTACTTCCAATGATAAGACTCAAAACATATGTTGGCCTAAGTACCTGTCAGAGCCAAATGAAGTGATTTCTGTAAATTTGTTTTGATGGTATCTGTCTTATCTTAATCTTATCATAATAGCTTGCAAAATTGTATTATTTTGATTCCATTTATAATATCAATAAAAAAAATCTACACATAAACGAGTTGAAGTAAAGATTCAACGATATGAAGTTACAAAGCCAAACAAATAATCTACTCTATATTTCCAAAAATTTTTCATATCCCAAATGATTACTTCCCATGCGGGCTGCAGAAATTATCAATTATACTATGTACAAATAATTATATACACTATTTAAACCATTATTTAGCATAAATTACACATTTCATGGGTACTGATTTTGATAAACAAAAGGCATTTACATAATCGTATCATTTCAGTTATCTTTTAAATATGGAAATGGACGAAGCATTCTTTGGTTTCATACGAACTTGTTTTAACCACTTAATGAATAAGACTGATGTGAATAAACCATAACATAAACAATTTTAGCAGACGTTAATTAAGACTAATTATGAATTATTAATTCATCAAATTAATTATTAAGCGCTCCAGTTTTTAGATTTATGATTGATTTATAATAAATTCTTTTGTAATTAATTGAGTCGTGATAACTTATTTATGTGGCACGTACTTATTGTTTTCAACTATATTCTTTTTATTTTAAGCCTTTAATAAACTTTGGAAGAATCAATAAGTTTGGCAATATTTGAGAAAGATTCAAGTTTTGCGAGAAAAGTGCAATAATTTGATGATTTTATGTAAGACTTTTATATTGGCCTCTTCCTTAATAATATACAGTTACGGTAAGAACATATGCTTGTTTAATTTCAATTGAAATTTAATTATCATATTCCACTGGAACCCACACAAATCATCGGAAGTTTCTTTTTTATGGCTTACAACGGTCATCAGACGGTTCATACTAAATACAATACACATGAATGTAAAGTAAAGTTCAGTGCCAGATATCAATATTTTTATAAAAACTGGTAAATTAGAGAACCGACTTTGTCCTGAATTTTTTTTTTTTTTTTTTTTTTTTTTTTTTTTTATATTTGACTTCGTTATATAACATTTGGTCATATACAAACATAATGAATATACATTAAGAATAAATACATAACATCTTATTACTAAATTAAAATTATAAAACTAATTTAGATTTTACAATAAATTCATATAATATTTTATAATTTCTTTCATTTCTTATTATGCAAATCCATGCAATTGGTTTTATTATACTTTTGTCGTCATAATATTTGTCCAGCATTTCTTCTCGTTGTTTTATATACCTGCTACATTTCATAATAATATGTTCTATATTTCCGTCTTCTTCTCCACATTCACAGATAGCTGAAGACCTAATACCAATTTTATATAAGTGACTTGGAAAATTGCCATGGTTTAATCTGATTCTACTTAACGTAGTTACAAATTTTCTATCTTCATTTTTAAGACTTTTAAACCAAGTTTTTTTTCTAATTTTATTCTCTATAGTCTTATATGTTTTTCCCTTTACCGTGTCATCCCAAATTTTTTGCCATTCCTCTTCCACATTTCTTTTACTTGTGTTTTCCACATCACTTTTCAGCATAATGTCCATTTTTTCTCCTTGTTTCGTTGCTAATTTTGCTAATTTATCCACCTTTTCATTTCCCTCTATTCCATTATGTCCTCTGATCCACGTAATTTTTATCTCATTTCCTATCAATTTTATATTTTCTAACTCGCTTCGAATTTCTGTATAAATTGCTTCCTCAAAAAGATTTTTTTTGTTTATGCTTATTAGTTTTTCTAC